CTCCCAAAGTGCAGGGATTACAGGCATGAGCTACCGTGGCTGGCTTGTATGTATTTTTGAGATATGCATAAGTTATTCTAAGAGGTCATAATATATAGATTTCATTACTTAGAGATTTAAAACTATGTTAAAGACAAAGGCAAAATTACAGGCAAAAGATGAAATGGGAAGAAAATATTTGCGGCATGCAGTATAACACACAATAGGCAGCGTTCTTGGCATTCCTCAGTTTCCTCAGATGTGATATTCCAACTATCACCTCCTTCCAAGGTAGATAGTGAAGATTGAATGTAGTGTGATATGTGTAAGGTCTGTATCCTGGAAGACACTTAGCAATGTGTATTCCTGGTTGTGTTCCCATCCCTCTCCATGCTAGCCAATTTCCCTGGGTGGAGTGAAGACAAAGCTTTAGTTCACGAAATGGCAGATATTTTTAAATGAATGCATTTTCTGTAAATTTAAAATGAACTTCAATGCAATGTGTTTTGTGGGCAGTTGGGAGAAAGACACATGTGTGCTAAGGGAGGCCTAGCACTCACAAGAAAAAACCCTTCTTGGAGATTGTGCTGTATTTTTGCTTGAATTGATATAACAGCTCTATCTTTTTTTTTTTTTTTTTGAGACGGAGTTTCGCTCTTGTTACCCAGGCTGGAGTGCAATGGCGCGATCTCGGCTCACCGCAACCTCCGCCTCCTGGGTTCAAGCAATTCTCCTGCCTCAGCCTCCTGAGTAGCTGGGATTACAGGCATGTGCCACCATGCCCAGCTAATTTTTTTTTGTATTTTTAGTAGAGACGGGGTTTCACCATGTTGACCAGGATGGTCTCGATCTCTCGACCTCGTGATCCACCCGCCTCGGCCTCCCAAAGTGCTGGGATTACAGGCTTGAGCCACCGCGCCCGGCTATAACAGCTCTATCTAATGACATTCAGTGATTATACACAACGACCAGCACAGTTCCTGCATCTGTAATAGGTGCTTGTTCCATTCCCACCTTTATTCTCTCCCTGGTAGCACATATGTGTTCTGTCTCTAAATTGTTGATAATAATCATAAGATAGATCATTTACTTAAATAGTGGAAGTATTACACAGTGACTAGGTCGTTCACACACACAGTGACTAGAGCACATTAGTAGAATACATCTTTTTCCTGGTTAGGCACCTACAACTGTATTCACACATGCTAGATAGCATATTGCACATGCAGCATCTTCCTTACCTCTGCTTTTAGCCAGTGACATTTTAACCGGTATCTTTTGTGAACTGGACATCGTGGCAATTTAATGTTCACTCTATATGAGTATTCATTTCAGGGATAATTAGATTGCCATGACAGTTAGCTAATAATGTATTCCATTATTTCTTAGGGATCTGTTATTGAGATCTATTTTTCCATTACAACACTAACTACATTCAGCAATATGATGTTAAAAAACTATCGTTAAACACATCCTTCCATCTTATTAGTACTGTGAAAGTAAAACTTACTAATGAGATTGGAGGGAATATGATTGTCAGCCTCTACAGACCTCTCCAGTCTACTGCTTATTTTGTTTATTTATTTTAATTTAATTTTTTTTTTTTTTGAGGTGGAGTTTTGTTCTTGTTTCCCAGGCTGGAGTGCAATGGTGCAATCTCGGCTCACCACAACTTCTGCCTCCCAGGTTGAAGCAATTCTCCCTCAGCTTCCTGAGTAGCTGGGATTACAGGCATGCACCACCATGCATGGCTAATTTTGTATTTTTATTAGAGATGGGGTTTCACCATGTTGGTCAGGTTGGTCTTGAACTCACGACCACAGTTGATCTGCCTGCCTTGGCCTCCCAAAGTGCTGAGATTATAGGTGTGAGCCACAGAGCCCAGCAAGTAATTTAATTTTAAATAAAACCAACTCAATTGAATTAAGATCCCCTCCATCTGTAATAAGTGCCTAGTGCATAAATTGGTAAAAGCCAATCACCCTTTTAGGCAAATAAAAATGAGATACTGGTTTTATTCACTCTTAGGGAAATGTATGCTTGCTGATAAAACACATTAGTTTTTGTGGAACTTACATTTTAACAGACATCAGGAAATCTCTTACTGGGCAAGGATTGGATTCAACTTTTTTTCCCAGGCTTTGCTATCCAGTTATTAGAAAACTAAGGCTGGGCACGGTAGCTCACACTTGTAATCCCAGGCCGAGGTGGGCAGATCACCTGAGGTCAGGAGTTCAAGAAAAGAGGAAAACTAAAATTAATTGAGCTCTTAGGTACTATTCATAGCTTATTAAATCTTTATGTGATTTAATCTTATTAAATATTTAGCTAAGAAAGCATTATTATCCCCATTGCATAGATGAGACATCGAGCATTTAAGTGATAATTTCAGAGCCCTACCTAACAATAATGATTTGAGCTCAGGTCTGTCAGGTCTCAAATGTCATTCTTTGTGTTACACTATTCTGAACCAAGTAGTGCAAATTGTGCAGAATACAAGGGACTCGGCCATTTGAGGAAACAACTTTGTCTTTTCCATTGCACCTTTTGGCCTGTAGTCCATCTGAAAAACAGTAGTATTCTGTATTAATTAGTAGTGAGTGACGGAAAGAGAAAAGGTCAAAATAAGATTGTGGACCACTAGGCAGGGCTGTCAACAGCAGTGAAAGAAGTAGAACACAATGTTCACACTGAGAAGAGATGAGCTGAGGGAGGCGCAGAGACCTGCTGTACGGTGGCTCTGGACGTCCGGGCCTAAGCCAAGGGCAGGATTGGGGACCTGTCTTTTTTGTCTTTGAGCACAAGCTTTGAACACCCAACATGTGCTAGGCCCCCTTCTAGGCCAGGGGAACAGCAGGCAGTTTCTGTTCTGCCAGAGTTTACATTCTAGTCAGGAACACATGTAAGAGAAAGATTTTCAGATAAAAGTAAATACTCTGAAGCTGATCGGGATGGGGGTTGCTTAGACTTGGTGGCTAGGGAAGACCTCTCTGAGAAGCGACCTTTGAGTCTGAAGCAGCACATGCCAGATAGTGGGAGTAGCGATTACAGGGGCAAAGGCCTGAATGAGCTTAATATCTTCAGGAGACAGAAGTACAGCCAGGATGGCTGGAAAGAGCAGTGGGGAGACCATGCAGGGACCTAGAGCTGGTGGCAAGCAGTTTAGACTTTATTCTAAGGGCAGTGAAATCTGTTTGGAAGTTTTTAATTAGGGGAATGACATGATCTTCATGTGCCGAGAAGATGAATCTGGATGCTGTGGAGAGGGACTGTAGAGGGCTCAGAACAGGGAGGCTGTCACAGGAGGCAGGAAGGAGCCACCACAGGCTGGGACCAGGAAGGCAGTAGGAAAAAGTGGAATAGAAGGTGATAACCTTCATCTCCAGAAACGCTCTAGATTTGGATTTGGGTAAAACTAAATTAGTGTTCCTTCATGTCTGTCAGTGTTTACCAAATTATAAATTTTTTTAAAAGTCCTGAGTATCTGTTTAACATGTTTAAAAATAATAATGGTGCGGCCGGGCGCGGTGGCTGAAGCCTGTAATCCCAGCACTTTGGGAGGCCGAGGCTGGTGGATCACGAGGTCAAGAGATCGAGACCATCCTGGTCAACATGGCGAAACCCCGTCTCTACTAAAAATACAAAAAATTAGCTGGGCAGGTGGCGTGTGCCTGTAATCCCAGCTACTCAGGAGGCTGAGGCAGGAGAATTGCCTGAACCCGGGAGGCGGAGGTTGTGGTGAGCCGAGATTGCGCCATTGCACTCCAGCCTGGGTAACAAGAACAAAACTCCATCTCAAAAAAAAAAATAAATAAATAAATGTAACCCCATTTTACTACTGGCCACCATTTGGTCACTACCTGCTATGCGCCAATCTCATGGGATTCTCTTCAGAGCCAATAACACATGGCTCTTTGGGTGGTGTCAGTGTTTGGCAGTGTATTCTTTTAACAGAAAGCCATTTTCATTTCCATTTAAGTGTGATTATATTGAACTGGGGCCAATTTTCTGTGCCATTCCTACAGCTTCCTCCATACAGTAAAACATTTTATTATATGAGGTCAGTGCAAACATAGAGCTCTTCACCAAAGATGATTGAGATCAAACTCATATTTCATTAGGTAAGCAAAATCAGCACTGCCCCACACTTTTCACTACATATATTTTTCTCAATTTAAATATGATTATTTGATTTTACAGGAAGAAATTCCAGTGAGCAAGTTTCTGTTGTTACAGCTGTTAACATCATTCTTCAGTTATATAGGATTTTTAGGGAAGAAATATGGAAACATTCATGAAATTTTTTTTTTTTTTTTTTTTTTTTCTGAGACGGAGTTTCGCTCTTGTTACCCAGGCTGGAGTGCAATGGCGCGATCTCGGCTCACCGCAACCTCCGCCTCCTGGGTTCAGGCAATTCTCCTGCCTCAGCCTCCTGAGTAGCTGGGATTACAGGCACACGCCACCATGCCCAGCTAATTTTTTTAGTGAAAATTTTTTTTTAATTGATTTAAACCAGTTTGTAACATTTGTATTTTCTTAGATTTTAAAAAAATCTAAGACAGCTCGGTGTGGTGGCTCAAGCCTGTAATCCCAGCACTTTGGGAGGCCGAGGCGGGTGGATCACAAAGTCAAGAGATCGAGACCATCCCAGTCAACATGGTGAAACCCCGTCTCTACTAAAAATACAAAAAATTAGCTGGGCATGGTGGCACGTGCCTGTACTCCCAGCTACTCAGGAGGTTGAGGCAGGAGAATTGCCTGAACCCAGGAGGCGGAGGTTGTGGTGAGCCGAGATCGCGCCATTGCACTCCAGCCTGGGTAACAAGAGTGAAACTCCGTCTCAAAAAAAAAAAAAAAATCTTAGACATTCTAATGAATTATTTATATTAAAAATATGTGACCTTTTTGATGGTGACTTAAGAGCGTTAATTTTTGAGGTGAAAAGAGATCAATCTGTAAAATAATTTAACAATAATGTGAAATTATTTGTAATGAGTATTTTCTGCTTGCTCTATCTTCAGGCCTTCTTCTTGGTCTATGCTCTGGGATGTTTAAGTATTTACTATGAGAAGGTAAGATGCTTTGTTTACATACAGCCCACTTAAAATTTCCCTGTTGTTAAAAGCAGTTTGTACTAATTTCTGTATTGCATTAATACAAATGTTTCTGCTCTTACTGAATAAAATAGGAGTGGAGTTTTTCTCTAAGTTTTGGATTTGGGTCCTGAAGTAGGACTGTTTGAGCAATAGGCGTCTTTGACCCTTGCGGATTGCATTTTATTCTTTGAGACTAGGAGAGGTACAGTATCTTATACTGTATAATGATTAGGAAATCTGTGTCAGAACAGTATTAAAAATTAACAAAAATAAAACCTACCAGTATTTGGCACCTACTATGTGTGGTAGAAGCTTTATGTTAGGTACTTTACATGCTATATTTCCAGTCCTTACCTCCACCTGGTAAGAATATACAGATAAGGTAACTCAGGCTCAGAGAAAATAAGTAATGTACCCAAAGTCACACAGCTAGTCTGGTTAGAATAAGTATTCAGGCCAGGTGCAGTGGCTCACGCCTGTAATCCCAGCACTTTGGGAGGCCGAGACGGGTGGATCACGAGGTCAAGAGATCGAGACCATCCTGGTCAACATGGTGAAACCCCGTCTCTACTGAAAATACAAAAAATTAGCTGGGCGTGGTGGCGCGTGCCTGTAATCCCAGCTACTCAGGAGGCTGAGGCAGGAGAATTGCTTGAACCCAGGAGGCGGAGGTTGCGGCGAGCTGAGATCGCGCCATTGCACTCCAGCCTGGGTAACAAGAGCGAAACTCCGTCTCAAAAAAAAAAAAAGAATAAGTATTCAAACCAATGTCCAAGTAACTCCAAAGCCCGTGACTTGGTGCTGTAGCCTGCTACCTTTAGAAGAGAGATAGTTGTGCAAGAGAGTAATACCATCGCTTGCTTCCAGGCAGAGGAACTGGGGGGCTAGGGACACGGGAAGGTGGAAGACTTTTCACTGGACATTTTTTGTACTTTCCTAAATTTCAAACCACATGTATATATAGTATCTATGCAAAATAATGCAAATAAAATTGAAAAGTAAACAGAACAGTACATGGAGCAGAAAAGATATATTCTGTTTGGCTCTTGAGAGCCACATAATTTTATCATTCACCAAATTCTAATTGCATAAATCTTGTTCGTGCGTATTCCAGCAGTTTGGAAGCAGTGTCTGCCTGACAAATGGCTCATTTTCCCAGATGATGGCCATTCTTAGCCCCACCTTGCTTCCTCTCATGGGCCTTAGCTGAAATTTGTCAGAATGTTACAGCTGTGACATAAAAGCCTCAACATCTCGACAACATTGGGCTGTGTTGGAAATTCAACCTGCTCTATGAGACTATTGCTTGTTAGAGGAGGGTGTTGAGTGTTTACTTACAGTGAGATCTCAGGGTCACACAGGTATGGAATTTTTGCATTAGGAACAACTGCAAACAAACAAAAAAAAACCAAAAAACTTCTAGCCTATTTATGGTATTATAATCTTAAGCTGGGACAAACTGAGCCAGTCTCATGAGTGACTGAGCCTTAAACCAACTGAAGAATGTATTGTTTCAGTAACTACTGAAATGAAGCAAAAATTTTCCAAACTTACCTAGTTATTTTGTAATCATTTATTTTTGGTAATGATACATCAGAATATTCTCGAGACCAAACCATTTGTATGCTCTTTGACTTCCACATTAAAAACAAAATTCTCTTTTAAGCAGTGAATTATTAGTTTGTATCATCAGATAACAAATTCTCTAGTTTCAAACATTAAATGGAGGATTTTTTTTTTTTTTTTTTTTTTTTTTAAGACGGGGTTTCACCATGGCCAGGATGGTCTGGATCTCTTGACCTCATGGTCTACCCGCCTTGGCCTCCCAAAGTGATGGAGGATCTTTTTTTAAATTTTACTACAAAATTATTTTTTGTTTTTCTGAAACGTGACCTGACGTAGAGTAGCTACTCTTAAGGATCTGTGAAATGTTGTCACGAGCTGCCCTCCAGCTTTGGTGGGCTTGTTACAGTGAGCCCCTGCATGCGCTGATTCCTCTGCCTGTAATGTCCTTCCTAGCCTACCACCACCCACTCCACAGCCTCCAGCTCATTTCCCTTCACAACTTCTCATCTTCAAATGCTACCTTTTCTAAGTCCTCTGGAGCAATGCTGCACAATAGAAGGACAGTGAGAGCCTCAGATTGGAGCCATGTATTATAATTTCACATTTTCTGGTAGCCACATTAAAAACATTTTTTTAAAAAAGAGGCAGGATTTTTTTTTTTTTTTTTTTTTTGAGACAGAGTTTCGCTCTTGTTACCCAGGCTGGAGTGCAATGGCACGATCTCGGCTCACCGCAACCTCCGCCTCCTGGGTTCAGGCAATTCTCCTGCCTCAGCCTCCCGAGTAGCTGGGATTACAGGCACGTGCCACCATGCCCAGCTAATTTTTTGTATTTTTAGTAGAGACGGGGTTTCACTATGTTGACCGGGATGGTCTCGATCTCTTGACCTCATGATCCACTCGCCTCGGCCTCCCAAAGTGCTGGGATTACAGGCTTGAGCCACCGCACCCGGCAAGAGGCAGGATTTTAATACTACATTACATAGTTTATTTGACCCAACATATTCAAAGTTATTGAAATCGTTTATGTTTTTTTTTTTTTTCATACTGAGTAGGAAGTCAGTATGTTTTCTACACTTAGAGCCCCTCTCAGTTCAGACTAGCTATGTACAGCTGGCAGCTGCCACATTGAACAGTGCAGGGCTAGACTTTCTTGCTAAATTTGCTCTGCTGGGAGTGAGCCAAGATCGTGCCACTGCACTCCAGCCTGGGTGACAGAGTGAGACTCTGTCTCAAAATAAAATAGATAAGTTGCTCTGCTGGAGGAACTGCTTTTTTGCTGCTTCAGCTTCACACTTAGTGTAGATGTTGATACGCTGGCTGAATGGAGAGTGAATGTAATGCTTTTTGTTTTTTGCAAATAACTTTAGGAGCCTTTAACTATAGTGAAGATCTGGAAAGCTTTCACTGTAGTTCAGCCCACATTCAGAACCACCTACATGGCCTACCATTACTTCCGAAGCAAAGGCTGGGTGCCCAAAGTGGGACTCAAGTACGGGACAGATTTATGTAAGTAATTCTTGGTGTGGTACTCGTGAAAACAGTGTTTGTATCACATTCACCCCAGAACATCAAATGGGTCATGTGTGCTGTTGATGTTTTCTAAAAAGGTGTCCTTTGGGTTTAAATAAGATTACTGGATATTTGGATTGGGGTAAGGGTAAGTGCAAAAAGAGAAAAGATAGTTTAGGGAGAAAGCATAGGAGGAGAAGCTTGGAACCCCAATTCAGGCTTTCCTTCTTGTTTGCCCTGTAATCTTAGAAAAGCGTTCTATAGCACCCAGCCCCATGTCTCATTAGCTATGAGACTGGGTAATCAGGGACAGTCCCTTATCCCTAGGCCTCAGTGGCCTCATCTGCCAAGTGAAAACAATCATGAAGTTATAATAATTGCCACAGCCATCATTGAGCCCTTGCCATGTGCGAAGCATTTTACTAAGTATTTTACATTCATCATCTTGTTTAATCTTTACAGCAGTCCTGTGTAGTCGAGACTCTTAATGTCTTCGTTTTCTGATAGTTGGACTGCAGTTTTGAGAAAATAGGTCATTGCCTGTAATAGTTTCCAGGGCCAGTAACTTGCAGAGCTGGGCTTTGAATTCTGGAGCTCAGGCTTTTAGAAATGTCTAACAGTACGGCCTCCCTCGATCTTTTCTTTTTTAAATTAAATCAATATTTAATTTTTTTTAACTTTAATTTTAGGGCCGGGTGCAGTGGCTCACACCTGTAATCGCAGCACTTTGGGAGGCCAAGGCGGCCAGATCACTTTGAGGTCAGAAGTTTGAGACCAGTCTGACCAACATGGTGAAAGCCCTTTTCTACTACAACTACAAAAACGAGCTGGGCGAGGTAGCAAAGACTTATAAGGAGGCTGACACAGGAAAATTCCTCGATCCTGGGAGGCAGAGGTTGTAGTGAGCCGAGTTCATGCCACTGCACTCCAGCCTGGGTGTCAGAGATTCCACCTCAAAAAAAAAAAATAAATAAAAATGTAGGTTTGGGGGCACATGTGAAGGTTTGTTATATAGGTAAACTCATGTCACAGAGGTTTGTTATACAGATGATTTGATCACCCAGATGCTAAGCCTAGTACCCGCTAGTTATTTTTTCTGCTCCTCTCCCTCCTCCCACCCTTCGTCCTCAAGTGTCTGTTGACCTCAGAGTCTGTTGTTCCCTTCTTTGTGCTCATAAGTTCTCTTCATTCAGTTCCCACTTGTAAGAAAGAATACGCAGTATTTGGTTTTTTCTCTTCCTGTGTTAGTTTGTTAAGGATAATGGCCTCCAGCTCCATCCATGTGCCCACAAAAGACATGATCTTGTCCATTTTGTGGCTGCATAGTATTCCATTGTGTCCCCTGATCTTAAAGTGGGAGTCTGGACCAAGTGAGTTCCTCATTCAGCAGATAATGACCAAGGGTCTGCTGTGGGCCAGGTACTGTTTGAGGTATCAGGAATACAGAAGTGAACAGGACAAATAGAGCTGACTTTGTGGAGCTTACATTCTGGGGGGATGGGGAGGGACACATAAGCAAATGACTACATAATGTAGTTTCAGGGACTGATAAGCACTGTAAGAAAAAGTAGAGTAAAGACTACCCAAGGTCAGCTGCAGTCCAAAAATATTAAGATACCTGCTGGGCACAGTGGCTCATGCCTGGAATCCCAGCACTTTGGGAGACTGAGGCAGGTGGATCACCTGAGGTCAGGAGTTTGAGACCAGCCTGGCCAACGTGGTGAAACCCTGTTTTTATTAAAAATGCAAAAATTAGCCAGGTGTGGTGGTGCACATCTGTAACTCCAGCTACTTGGGAGACTGAGGCATGAGAATTGCCTGAACTTGGGAAGCAGAGGGTGCTGTGAGCCAAGATCATACCACTGCACTCCAGCCTGGGCAACAGAGTAAGACGCTCTTAAAAAAAAAAAAAAGAAATTTTTTGCCGGGCGTGGTGGCTCAAGCCTGTAATCCCAGCACTTTGGGAGGCCGAGGCGGGTGGATCACAAGGTCAAGAGATCGAGACCAACCTGGTCAACATGGTGAAACCCCGTCTCTACTAAAAATACAAAAAATTAGCTGGGCATGGTGGTGTGTGCCTGTAATCCCAGCTACTCAGGAGGCTGAGGCAGGAGAATTGCCTGAACCCGGGAGGCGGAGGTTGCGGTGAGCCGAGATGGCGCCATTGCATTCTAGCCTGGGTAACAAGAGCGAAACTCCGTCTCAAAAAAAAAAAAGAAATTTTTTTTTAAAAATATTTTGAGAGATCCTGATTCCTGTAACTCATTACAGTATATTGTTATAATTGTTCTATTTTATTATTAATGTTCTTAATCGCATACTGTAGCCCTTTTGCCTGCAACTTTATTTTAACAATCAAGTTATACTTTGGATGGTGCAGAGAGAAAACTTCCTTAATTTAAAGATACTCTGTTTTATGAGGATGATTGGACAGATGGATAGCTGGATGGGCAGATAGATAGAATTTTGAAAACAAAAAAGATAAACTGCTCAATTTACAACTCTCCTGGAGGCCTTTGCCCCCACTGGGACATATAATCTTTTTCTAGTTCCTCGTACAGTTAATGTGGGACCAGGTCTCTGACCCACACACAGAGTCAAACTGGCCCAGCATCAGTGTTAAAAGCGTCTTCACATTCTCTGTGTTAGCAAAGGTTCTTGAGCAATGCTAGCCTGGGATATGAGGGGTGGCTTCCTAAACTGTACCTCTTCCTCAAGCATGGCTGCATATTTCCTGCTGCTTTTTAATGGTATTATTTTAATTTTGAAGGCCAGTGACCTAATCACATGAAGCCTAGAACTGCCAACATAGGTTAAACTCTTTTTTTTTTTTTTTTTTTTTTTGAGATGGAGTTTTGCTCTCTTGTTACCCAGGCTGGAGTGCAATGGCTCGATCTCGGCTCACTGCAACCTCCGTCTCCTGGGTTCAGGCAATTCTCCTGCCTCAGCCTCCTGAGTAGCTGGGATTACAGGCACACGCCACCATGCCCAGCTAATTTTTTTTTTGTATTTTAGTAGAGACGGGGTTCCACCATGTTGACCAGGATGGTCTCGATCTCTTGACCTTGTGATCCACCCACCTCGGCCTCCCAAAGTGCTGGGATTACAGGCTTGAGCCACCGCACCCGGCCGCTAGGTTAAACTCTTAACAATTGTTTTTCCTTAGAGAGGTAGTGACTTGTAACATAAGACCATCGTGAAATTCACATCTTATCAGGGAAACCTGGAAGCAGATTTCATTCCAGGAGCAGTACTTGGAAGAGGTGATATGGGTCTCAAATGAAGTGCAGCTGCCAAGCTAGCTGACCTTGATCGCCTACTGGGGGAGCCAGGCCAGAAGCCAAGAGGGAGCCTTTCCTTACACTCCCCACTCAGCAGCTCCCCTGGCTACCAACTCCTGGGGCCAGCCAGGCACCTTGCCTTGGTGCTTTCTTTTGTCTCATTTAATCTTCACACTCCTGTGAGGCCTGTATTAGTAGCTTCCTTTTGTAGCAGAGGAGTTTGAGGTTTAGAAGGGTTAGGTAAATTGCTGGAGTGCTTAATACCTCGTTAAGTACACAGAGTAGGGCTCTGTGAGTCTGTCCTCCCTGTCCTCCCAGCATACCTAAGTCATGTTGCCTGCCAAGAAGCCAAAAACTAACTCAGGGTTTATATTGTTGTCTTATGTACACAGTTAAGGTTTGATTTGATTTGGCGTGACCCAAAGGTCTGGTTACTCCTAAGCCTCCTTCCCAGCCAAGCCCAATTGGGTATTTGCATTAACTGATTAAGTATGATTTCTGAGCTCTCTGCAAATTAGAAGTTTCAGCACAAATGGAATGGCAGGAGCCACTGAAAGCTAGCAGAGTTATAGAGTTTCCTGGCCCAGAAGGAACCTTGACTTGTCGTGACGTCCAGCCCAGAGACTGACAGTTCTCCAGAATGGTTGGAGGTCAGCAGGCAGCTATTTGTCACAGAACAAGGAGATGTGTCTTCTTCGAACGCTCCTCCCTTTTTTTTGAGACAAAGCCTCACTTTGTGGCCCAGGCTGGAATGTAGTGGTACGATCTCTATGTCTGCTCACTACAACCTCTACCTCCCAGGTTCAAGCCATTCTCCTGCCTCAGCCTCCCAAGTAGCTGGGATTACAGGCACACAGCACCACACCCAGCTGATTTTTGTATTTTTAGTAGAGATGGGGTTTCACCGTGTTGGCCAGGCTTCTTTCGAACTACTTACCTCAAGTGATCCCCCTGCCTCAGCCTCCCAAAGTGCTGGAATTATAGGCCTGAGGCGTGGCACCAGGCCCTTTGATTCTTTTCTAAGCCACCTCCTGTCTTATTTTCCTAGTCAAACGTTTTATATATTTTTGTTAACATTCTTCATGTTTACATACATAATCTGTATTAATCTATAAGTATTTCCATGTGTACCTACAAAGAATACAGACATTCTCCTACATACCACATAATGCCTGAGAAAAATTAGAATTACTTAATGTCATCCAAATATCCAATCTATACTTACCTCTTCCCAGTGTCCTGGTAATGTCTTTTGTGGCTATTTTGGTTGTAATTTTTCTTTTTTTTTAAATATAGATGGGGTCTCTCTCTATGTTGTCCAAGCTGGTCTCGAACTCCCGGGCTCAAGCCTTCCTCCTGCCTGGCCTCCTAAAGCGTACAATTATAGACACGAGCCACCATGCAGGCTTTTGGCTTTAATTTTCTTGATACAGTCACATTTGATTGTTATAGCTACCTTTTAGTTTCCCATAAGAAATTACCACAAACTGGGTAGCTTAAAAGCAACAGAGATTCATTCTCTTACAGTTTTAGGGGCCAGAAGTCTATAATTGAGGTGTCAGCAGGGCCAGGCTCCCTCCAAAGGCTCTGAGGGGGAAGCCATTTCTTGCCTTTTCCAGATTCTGGTGGCCCCATTTTGTGGCTGGTGACCATCCCTCCAGTCTCCACCTTGTCTGTTTGTGTCAACATTCCCTTTCCCTCATAAGGATAGTTGTC